CTATCCATCGAGAAACAACAACTTCTGAGAGTTAAAGCATTACCCTCCTTTTATGAAGACACTATGAAAAATTTACTTTACAAAATAGAAGGGCAAAATTCCCATTCAAATAATTTTATTTCTAATGAGTGTAATTAAAGAATTATTTCTAAACTTTTGATTGTACCTTAGATTTCAGATTTATACTATTATTTTCATACACCAAATAATGTATGTACCCTCAATATAAATTGTTCATAAATATTAATAAATTGTATAATACTCAGCAGAACTGAAAACTGGCAAGTCTTAAATTTCTATTACTTATATTCTATAATTTTATTTAAGTGTTATTATACAAATGCATGATAACTAAATATTTAATATGCTTAGTACTAACCCCCATTCATTAATATAAACATTTTCTAAGTTTTATACTTAAAAGCATTCCCTTTAGGAAAAGACAGGATATGTTCCTGATTAAATCCACAAAGGCATGAAAGAAAAAAAATTCAAAACGAGTAAAATAAAAAATTCCCTTTAAATGTGTAAAATATATATGTGAGTAAGAAATTATGTTGAGATAGCCTTAATGGATTGCAGAGAACTTCTTGCATAAATAGCAAAATGACATTTGCAGGCAGATGTAGTTGTAGATTTTATCATAACAATAACATGTTAAAAAGGGACCAAGTTCGGGGAGAAACAATGAGAAAATCTTTTGTCTCCGACAAAAGAGTCAAGATCTAACAGATGGCAAATTCCATAGCAGTTCCTTTAATCATAGCTGTAGGAATGTGCAACATTCTTCAATTTATTTTTTAAACAATTTATTATTTTCTTTGATATTCAATTTCTAACTTGGCAAGTTTTAATTGTCAATAAATTACATTTAAAAAATTCGACTTCTCCAATTGGAAATTATGCTCTTGCAAATAATACACACACTATAGATTTTCATGTGTAGGCTGAGAATTTTTAACAAATTTTTTTCTATTGAAGTTTGGGGATCAGCTTATATGTGAGTTTAAAATGATTTACAAATCATCAGATCACAAAAATAATAATGTAGGTTAAATAATGGAAAAACATTATTTTATCCTAATATAAGTCAATAGAACTTCTTAATATCAGTATCCGCTTTTCCATATTTTCTAGCAATACTCAGATGTCTCCTGTTAAGGATAAATCTATGTGAATTTCATCATCTCTATTTCACCATTCAGACATTTTCATAATATATATATATATATTATTATAATATATTATATATATAATAATATTATTATATATATTAATTATAATATATATATATATATATATAATATATATATTATATAATCATATTATTATATATAAGATTTTCAATTCTGTCTATAGCACTGCTCAGCAAAAATGATAAATTTTGAATTAAAAACTAATAGAATAAGCAGTCCTCTTTTGTGCTATTTCACTACATAGTAGCAAGAGATTGTTTTTTATTAAGAATACAACTGAAGGGGGTGGAAATATTGCCATTATTCAATAATTTAAGAACTGCTAAGAAATCTCGCAACTGCTCAGCTGTAAACAAGAGTACATTTTACTTCTCTACTGCCAAAGCACCAGATGAAACATACGGCTAAAAGTTGGAAAAATTGAGAGACATGAACATTCTACAGTACCCCCCCCACACCTTTGTGAATGGAAACTCAAGATGATTTAGCGTTCGGCTTTAATTCACCTGACAGATTTAAGTTGGATGAAAAATTATTTGCAATTTTGGCAATATATATAACTGGATTTACAAAATAATTTTATGTTCAATTTATACACAAGTTTTCAACTTTGGCTGAATTTTTATTGCAAAATTTTGGCACTTTCACATTATCTGCCCAGAGCTCCTGCAAAGTTTCCAATTGCCTGGTGACTATTCCCCCCACCCACACACACCTAACATTTAAAAAACAGTAGCCATTTTAAAAAAATGGCAGTGCACTGAGAATTGCATAAAACAGCTGTAAATTACTGAAATTAAAGCTGCAAGAAATATCGATTATGAAACAGTAAAAATTACACAAATCAAAAATCCATAACAAAACACTTAACAAATTACCTAAATTATAAATGCAACAAACATCCATAATAAAACACTTTCTCAATTTTTGTGGTCCATGTGCACAGTGACCTATTTTAATTTAAAAAAAAAGCAGACAATAGCAGAAGTTTTGACATTGCACAGCAAACTGACACTGCTCTTCATGTACATATTGACCCATTTTAACTTAAAACTCAGAACTGCTGAATTCTCAGCATTGCTCTTCATATACACATCAACCTGCTTTAACTTAAACATAAAAAAAATAATAATAATAAACAAATTCAGAGAATTTTAGAATTCTCAGTATTGCAAAGCAAGTTGGAACTGCTCTACATTTATACAATGACTTGTTTTAACTTAAAACAAATGAGAGAACTGCTTTTATTCAGAAAAACCAATTATTTAATATTCTTCTTTTTCCATACTAGACACGCATACTTCTCACAGACTGAATCAGCATTAATCAGTAGTTGTATTTGAAGACTTAGAAACAATAGCAACTCTAAGAATGTGTATTCTCTAGACCGGCAATAAATAAAGTAAACAGCTGTTGTACATGATATTTTGCTATTCTCAAACCAATTTCCTACTCGCATTGGAACACTTTGCTTACAATCATTAATAATACATTTTCATACAATTTGATCATTTGCTTCAAGGGAATTTTAAAACAATGCCCATTACATGCTGGCACAATCTGCATACAGCCATTAAAGGGTTTGCAGATAAAATGCATGTTTGTTAAATTCTGGGTTGCATGATTTGGCGACATAGTGCTCTGCTCAGTGATCCACCTCACCACTGGGTAGATTACACAAAAGTACCAAAATTTTACCTTTAGTTTATAAACTGATTAATTCAAACTCAGAAATATATGATATACAAATACTGATACTTTCTCATCAACTAACACCCCCTCAAAAACTGTCAAAACATTTTTCTAACTCATTTGTCCAGTAACCATTATTTATCATTAAAAATATTCAAAACTGTCTATAGCTATTTTCCTTTTGAAAACCATATTTAGTGATGTTTTGCAGTTTGATACCAAAGCCTTCTTAAGACAATGAATTATGGTACTAATACAATGGTACTAATAGCAAGTACCCAAATTACAGTGGTGGTGGAGGGTTTCTTGGCACAAAATCTCAATGGTTATATGGGCCGGAACACATGTCAAAGAACTTTTTAACACCAACAGACATATAAACAAACAAATAACATAAAAACCACAAGAATAGCTTAAAATACAATGATGGGGTTATCTACAATGGTAATATATGAGTGACCGATTCTCAAACGGGTCAGCAAAACTTCCTCCTTCCGGTTCCTAGTTGGCTCCCAGCATTCAATTTTTGGTTTGATACTTTTCAGCTTATTTGCTAGCTGAGTATCCCAGACTTCCTGCCATTTAAACAACAACTTGTCCTTGATGACTTTACAGATGTCATTAAACAGGACGAGGCGATGCGCAAGATGAACTGCAGATTTGGCTGTGATGTCTGCTAGCTCGTTCCCTTTAATACCATGTCCTGGAACCCAACAGTAAAGATATCATACCCCCCCCTTAATTTGAGGTTAAGGCTTAAAATATCAACAACATTGGGATTCTGAGCCTTATAACTGAAATTTAAGAATTTCAAAGCACTAAACGAGTCTGTATATTTATAAATTGTCTTCGATATTGCTTAGAAATAAACAAAAGAGCATTAATATATAGCATTTATTCTGAGGTGAAGACCGAGCATGGCGTCATGCAGTCTTTTAACCATCAATGTGGTCTTCAATAATAAAGGATGTACCAACATGTCCTGATGCTTTGATCCGTCTGTGTATACAGGGACGTAACTATTGTATTTGCAACCTGTGGTCAGAAAAAGTTGTCTGTTACCAAACTCGTTAGTATCTTGCTTGCCAAAATGCTGGAAAAGGTCTAAGAGTGAAATCCGAGCATCCTCCCAAGGTGAGATTTCGAAATGCTTTACTGCCTGGGTAGAGAGATCTGTCATGTGGTATTTCTCAATTAGAGAGTTAACCCTAAGTGAGAAATAAGGTCTAGCCTCAAATAAGAGTTTGTAACTGTCATCGAAGGAAGAAATATGGTTTGGATGGTCAGGAAGTGACATAACATTGAAAAAGTAGCAGAGAGACAACTGCTCACGTCTTAACCGAAGCAATGGCTTGTGGCAGTCAACATACAGACTCTGGACTGGAGATGTTCTAAATGCACCAGAAGATATACATAGTGCTTGATGATGAACGGGATCTAGTTTTAGTAATATAGAAGGCCTTGCAGAACAATAAACAATTGGCCCGTAATCAAGTTTTAGAGCGTATAAGTGCTCTATAAACCCGGAGTAACGAGCAACAGCCCACACCCCAGGAGGTGTTTTCCAGGACTTTCAAAAGATTCAGTCTCTTCAAACACTTCCTCCTTAGGTATAAGATGTGTGGAAGGAAGGTCAATTTTCGGTCAAACATCACTCCTAAAAATTTTACTTTAGATTAAACTGGTTAGGCTTGCAAAAATGGACACATACAGTCTTCTGTTTTGAAAAAATAAATCCTTCTTTTTTTGACCAATGATCGATTCTATTAAGAGCGATTTGCAGCTGCCTCACCCAAATTATGCAGCAATATATTATTGTAATATTTATTTCATTATTTAGGAAAGTCACCAATCATAAGCCTGTAAATTATCACTTCAAAACAGATTTTAAAACCTAGATGTGTTTAATTAAATCTTTTTAAGAGAACAAGAGAGTAGACTGGTTATAAAAATTAAGAAACAGATCACAATTCATTTAAAAATTACATAAACAACAGAACAAAATAAGTTATTTTATAATCATCTGAGTCATGATAAAAAGATTTTAGAACAAAATGTAATGTTCTAATTAATCAAGATGAAATAATTTTTGCTTTTTAACGAAACTGTTACCTTTTAATGGACAATAACGAGGTAACCTCTTTGGATAAAGCATTCCCTGCTGCATAAGGCACGTTATGTTAGCAATTTCATGTTTGCAAGCTTGTGTAGTGGCACGATGAATGGCAGATACTGCTTCTTTAGTAGTAATATTGCACCAAGGATGAAAATCAAGCTCATCTATATTTAAAATACCATCAGTCTTATCTATTTTTTTGGATTCATTTACACTATTGACTATATTTCTATCACTTGGATTTATTTTTAGGTTTTTCAAGTCCTTTTCAGCAGGCACAACAATCTCAATGAATCTCTGCTTTTCAGTATCTCGAGGAGATATGTTTCTGCTGCTACTGTCCTTGAGTAGTTTCTCCCACACATTGCCCTGCCTATCTTCATCATCAACAATATAATCATATGCATATTTTTCGATACCAGGATCAATACGGGAACTCCTCTGATTCAGTTCTTTATCACCAATGAGCTGTAATAAAATCCATATATTATTCTTACAAAAAATAATGGTAAAAACTACTCGCAAAACTATCTTTTTCTCAATTCTATTTAAATATACAATGAGCTTCCATTAATACAAAATAGACAATTCAAACAATAAGCTCCCAAAAACACTAAGAAAAATGACTTCAGGAATACTTCTGATAATTTGAATAGTACTGCTAGAACCTATGTTCTGAATTCATTATAAATCGCCTCGCTTTGCGTAAATACTTCTCAGATACTCCTTCAAAATTAGAAATGCATGAAAAACTAGGCAAAAATTAATACACATTCTTAATGTAATGAGAAATTGTTTTGATTTATTCTTGATTTAAAAGGCAATTAAAACTCAAATTTCCTTAATATTAAAAAAAGGGGGAAAGAAAAGACATTGCAGACTACAAAAACATTACTACTATAGCCTATACTAAACTATCCAAAATATAACAATTTTTTAAAAATAAATTACTGATTTTCTAGTCTTCTAAACTGTTATTAAAATTCACAAATACTCACTTTGAATAGTACTACTTAACACTTAAATATGACGAAAATTACATTCAAGCACTACAGATCACATTAATGAAATATACTTTCTTCTAAAATTTAAGACAGTTACAATTAAAAAGAAACAATTAATACCTTATTCAAGGTTCAACCGGTTTCCAATGCCCAGCAGGAGTCAAGTGAATAAGACTATACCTTGGGTTGACCAGGATTTATATTGGTTCAACAATTACCCCCCCTTTGCAGTAAATTAAAAAGTTTATGCTTCTGATGAATTAAATAAAAGTAACAGTTAAGGTTAATGTTTTTATTTCTCATGTTTTCATCTATTCTTATGAAATAATCTGTGGAGAGATCCACTTGATTGTATTATTCCTATCTACTTATTTGAATATTTATTAGCTGAACACTTTTTCAAACTTTTTTCATCAATAAGATTTCTATACTTTATTAGTAGACCGGAGTTAGTCGACTCCATTCTTCCCTCTTTCAAGAACAACTTGAATATTGCATCTTTGGAAAATGTTTCTTCGATATATTTCTTCACATTTATTAGAATGTCTTGATCAAGTGATAAAATAGCTACCTTGGAATAATTTGCACCTCAAAATGAGAAGACAAGCTATCTGTGTTTTGAAGGTTCATTTACTTTAAATTAAAATAAATAACTCAATGTTTTATTTCTTTGAAATATTTTCTGTTTTTCAGTGGCAGTATATGAATAGCCAAGGAATACCAAATTTAATTAAAAAAATACATTTGTGAATAAAAATAAAATATTTTCTTATACATTCCCCTCCCCATTCTTATTACATTTATCTCTTGAAAATTAATAACAGTACAAATGAATCTCCACCATTTAATAAAAATGGCATCACCAGTAAGCTATAGTTAAAACTGTCTGAAGTAAAACATCATATTGAGAGGTTAGACATCAGCTAACAACATAACCTTGAAATATCTGTGATTTTGTTTCAGCATCATACTTTTGTGTGTATGTGTCTGTGTGTAAATGTGGAGTTTTGAGCAGAATAAACATTATTTGTGGGAAATCTTTGATTTACTTCATATGGTTTCAAAAGTTCAGGAATGGTAAATTGGACATTGAAGACAAAGAATGAAGTGGAAGGATGAATGTGTACAAACATGCGAAACTGGAAGCATTATTGGATGAAGAATCATACCAAACACAGGTAGATCTTGCATTTACTTTACGAGTGACTCAATAATAAATTTCACATCATTTAAAATCATTGGGAATGATTCAAAAGCAAGAAAATTGGGTTCCATATGAAATGAAGCGAGAAAACGTTGAGCGCCAATTTTTTACATGTGAAAAAAATCAGCATAAACAAGGGCTTTTTCGCATTGTATAGACACTAGATGAAAATTAACCCACTTTGATAACCCCAAGATGAAATCATGAGGACCATCTGGCCATGATTCAACATCGACAGCCATGCTGAATATTCATCGGAAAAAAATAATGTGTATACATGGGGATCAACTTGCTGTCATATAACAAGTTGCTTTAAACTGAACAAAATCATTATTGGGGCTCTCTATACCGAACAGAACTGATGAGATTCAGCGCTGATGCTCAAAGAAAATGCACACCACTACTACTCCAGACATGACAAAATTATTATCCTGCATGATAGCGCTCACTTTCATGTTGTACGCTGCTCAAAACCTACTTCCAACCAATCAAATGAGAAGTTTTCATCACCTCCACTTGTATTCACCAGACGCTGCTCCTTCTGATTATTACTTGTTTTGATTGATAACGCATGGCCTGTCTCAGCAGTTCTTCACAACATATGAAGATACCAAAAATTGAGTTGATTGTGTAGCCTCAAAGATGAAACATTCTTCTGAACTGGGTATCCATATACTACCAAAAAAGATGGGGGAAATGAAATAAATGAATAAAGCATACCTTTTTTCGCAGTAAATGACCAATTTTTGATAAAAAAATGTGGAGACTTAATTGTAATCTTGATAAAAGTAACTTATGCAATACCACTTTTATAAAGAGGAATAAGAGAGAACTTATCAGATTTAAAGTACATAATAAATATATGACAATTTTTATATTTAATAGATGTTGAATTAGTGTTATTTTTACTTGCCATATATTTTGCTATTTTTCCATACCTAATATTGTAAGGATCCTAAGTTTTACTAACGTTTATTTTATTTTAAATCTTTACCATCACTTCTTATTTTCTACTTCCGGCCAGAATTAAAAGCTTTAAGTGGAAGGATGAATGTGTACAAACATGCGAAACTGGAAGCATTATTGGATGAAGAATCATACCAAACACAGGTAGATCTTGCATTTACTTTACGAGTGACTCAATAATAAATTTCACATCATTTAAAATCATTGGGAATGATTCAAAAGCAAGAAAATTGGGTTCCATATGAAATGAAGCGGAGAAACGTTGAGCGCCAATTTTTTACATGTGAAAAAAATCAGCATAAACGAAAGGGCTTTTCGCATTGTATAGACACTAGTGATGAAAATTAACCCACTTTGATAACCCAAAGATGAAATCATGAGGACCATCTGGCCATGATTCAACATCGACAGCCATGCTGAATATTCATCGGAAAAAAATAATGTTGTATACATGGTGGGATCAACTTGCTGTCATATATTACAAGTTGCTTAAACTGAACAAAATCATTATTGGGGCTCTCTACCGAACAGAACTGATGAGATTCAGCGCTGAGTGCTCAAAGAAAAATGCACACCCACTACTACTCCAGAGACATGACAAAATTATTATCCTGCATGATAGCGCTCACTTTCATGTTGTAGCGCTGCTCAAAACCTACTTCCAAACAATCAAATGAGAAGTTTTCACCTCCACTTGTATTCACCAGACGCTGCTCCTTCTGATTATTACTTGTTTTGATTGATAACGCATGGCCTGTCTCAGCAGTTCTTCACAACATATGAAGATACCAAAAATTGAGTTGATTTGTGATAGCCTCAAAAGATGAAACATTCTTCTGAACTGGGTATCCATATACTACCAAAAAAGATGGGGGAAAATGAAATAAATGAATAAAGCATACCTTTTTTCGCAGTAAATGACCAATTTTTGATAAAAAAAATGGTGGAGACTTAATTGTAATCTTGATATAAGAGTAAACTTATGCAAAATATACCACTTTTATAAAGAGGAAATAAGAGGAGAACTTATCAGATTTAAAAGTACATAAGAATAAATATATGACAATATTTTATATTTAATAGATGTTGAATTAGTGTTATTTTTACTTGCACAATATATTTTGCTATTTTTCCATACCTAATATTGTAAGGATCCTAAGTTTTACTAACGTTTATTTTATTTTAAATCTTTACAATCACTTCTTATTTTCTACTTCCGGCCAGAATTAAAAGCTTTAAGTGGAAGGATGAATGTGTACAAACATGCGAAACTGGAAGCATTATTGGATGAAGAATCATACCAAACACAGGTAGATCTTGCATTTACTTTACGAGTGACTCAATAATAAATTTCACATCATTTAAAATCATTGGGAATGATTCAAAAGCAAGAAAATTGGGTTCCATATGAAATGAAGCGGAGAAACGTTGAGCGCCAATTTTTTACATGTGAAAAAAATCAGCATAAACGAAAGGGCTTTTCGCATTGTATAGACACTAGTGATGAAAATTAACCCACTTTGATAACCAAGATGAAATCACGAGGACATCTGGCCATGATTCAACATCGACAGCATGCTGAATATTCATCGGAAAAAAATAATGTTGTATACATGGTGGATCAACTTGCTGTCATATATACAAGTTGCTTAAACTGAACAAAATCATTATTGGGGGCTCTCTACCGAACAGAACTGATGAGAAGCGGAAAAATGCTGACTGACAAATTATATCCTGCATGATAGCGCTCACTTTCTTGCTCAAAAACTTCCAATCAAATGAGAAGTTTTCACCTGATTACTTATTTATGCAAATTTGTCTTGCTACGCCAAGTACTTAAGTTGTGGCTTTTTGCCAAGCAAGAGAGAGGAAGGAGTTATTAGAAAGCAGGCCGCTTGCCTTAGTAGTTTTACTCGGTTGCTGGTTGCCTTCCAAGGCCAGAGGTTTAATCCTCTTGATAATTTTAAACGTATTGTAGTGTTAACAGTTCTCTGTACTACATACGGCTTTTTTGTTAATATACGGCCAATCTTGGAGTAGGCACTTGTTTTATTAATTAAAGTTAGTTAGTTAGAGTTTAGTTAATATTTTTTATATTCTTACGTTCAGACCACAAGTGGTTGGTCTCTGTATTCCGAAGTACGGAAATCATTGTAAAGAGAGAAAAATAAAGGGTTTCGTATACCCTTCCTGTGTGTATTGTCTACTTCCCAATTTATTATTGAACATAGCTTTAGTAAGCTCCCTGTTCCGAGTCAGGTCAGTTCATATTTCCCAAAGCAAGTAAGGAGGAA